TGATATGTCCTTATTGGGTCGCTCTGAGGGCGTGCGCTGGCTAGCATCGAGCTCACATCGTCGGGACAACGAGCTGTCGGCCTGCTGCGCCGCCGCATGCTCGAGCAGCGTGCGAATCTCGTGATGGGCCTGACGATCTTTGGGTGTCGCAGGCCTCGAAAGCCCTCGGAGCAAGACCGCCGCAACAATGATGTTCTGGCTCGCCCGGGTGAAGTGTGGGAGGGCTTCATTGTCGTCGATGATCGTTCGGTTCACGTCGCGGGCCACAGCACGCGCACGCCGCCGTCTCTGTGGCACTCGATCTCTCGCTCGAGCTCCGCACGTTCCTACTCGAGCTGGAGTCATGCTTCCTTGAGCTCTTGGTGCCGAGCCTTCAGCTGCTCCACCCGTAGGCGAGGTGGGGCCCCTGCATCCCCCTCGACCTCGTCGTCGAGGTCATTTGTTGGGGTAGCCTCTCCCTCGTGGATGCTTTTATCATGTCACTCAGGGGTACCAGCCATGAAACATTCATGCAAGGGGTGATGTCTCCCCCTGCTGGAGTTAGAGTTGGAGGGTGACTCCGTTTCTCCCGCGAGGAGGTCGTGGAAAGACTCCACGACATATTCGGTCATCCCCACGAACTCGTCGTTCGTAGGGGATGGAGGCGCGCGTTGCACCACAAGGTGGCCAACAATCTCTACGGCGTTGCATTGACCGGACGGGATCGCTGTCGGGGCGCTCTGGATGAGGTATTCCGGGGAGAGTGGCTCTCCTTCGGCAAACTGCGTCATGATGTTGGTGAACGAGACGGTGAAGTGGCGTAGGTCCTCCTGGGACGGTCGGGGTCCTAGGAAGGCACCGAGCTAGCGCTCTAACCTCCCATAGTCAAAGCCAAAGAGCTGGTCGCTCCTAGGGGCGTGGGCCTCTGGTGCGTGCAGCTATAGCTCCTCAAGCGCCTCGGTGACCACGTCGAGGCCGGCAGAGTGGAGAGGTTGGACGATGATGGGAGCCCGCACCAACTCTCCCTCCATTGTGACGATGAAGTCTAGGTTACCGAAGTGCACGTGCGTGTCCGGGACCCAGCTGACATTGTGACTAGCCATCCGAGGCTTGATATGGACGTCGAGACGTGCAAAAGGCCCCTACCTGGCTCGCCAAATGTTGGTGTTTCGAACCACCGATGAGTAAATTTGTATTTGCGCGTCTGGCTCGAACGGTGTGCTTAGAGGACACGAGGTTTATACTAGTTCAGACAGAAAGTCCCTACGTCTAGTTCGGTGCTGCTGCTCATGTTACTAGCACTGAAAGTTTATAGTAGGGGTTACAAACGGACGAGAGAGGAAAAGGATCCCAAGCCTCTGATGGAAGGAGTGAACGGGTGACGAGAGCTCGGTCACTACTCAGTCGTGTGCTCATGTCCTATTTTTGTGTCGATCTGGATCGGATTTTGATGGGTCGATCAGTCCTGAATCGGATCCCTTTCATGGGACGTCCTGCTTTCCCTTTTATAGGCGAAGGGAAAGCGCGGGTTACAGCAAAGGAAAAAAAGAATGAGAGAGAGAAGGCCTTCAGGATCGCCGGGTCCTTCTTCTCCTTCCTATGGGTCCTGCCGATCCTGTAGATGTCAACAGGGATAGCTCCACGTCGCGATCCTATCCGTTACTGGTGCCATGCACAGGCGTCGTCTGCCGGTCATGGCATTCCATCCCATCCCAGCGGACGTCGTGGTGAACTGACGCGCCTGTCATCATTCGTACGAGGGTTAGGCAGAACAGCACCGGCACGCTCGACGCTATTCTTGATGTGAACCCTTAGGTATGGCCCGTCATGGCTACGGGTTACATTGAGGCGTGCCAGTCTCTTCTCTGGTGTCAGAGTTTTGACCCAGGCCCATACGCTTGGACCTAGAGTCGTTGGCGGCGGTATGAGTCCCCGTTGTGACATCCAGCCCAGTTTGGAATTTGGCCCATAGTGGCCCATATGCAAGTTAATGAGATATTGTGGAGAGTTTAGTTCCACCTTGGTTGTTAAAGGTGGGATAGACCAACATATAAGGCTTCTAGAGTCCATCCCCGGGTTAATCCTTTTACACGAAGCGAGGACGAAAGCGTAAGTGGGATGGTAGTAGGCGTGGTTCGCTCAGCGTGCAGAGTGGATCTGAGCCGTTTGGACTCTAGGGCGTTACACCCGTCGGGCGAGACGGAGCACGAACCTAAGGGGTCGGGCGAGGCGGAGCCCATGGCCTCAGGGTCGGGTGAGGCAGAGCCCGCCCTAGAGGTCGAGGCGAGGCGAAGCCCGTGGCTCGGGTTGGGCAAGGCGGAGCCCGCACCCAATGGGTCGGGCGAGGCGGAGCCCGCGGCCTCGGGGTCGGGCGAGACGGAGATCGCGGCCTCGAGGTCGGACGAGGCGGAGCCCGCGCACCTAGGGGTCGGTTCGAGCTGTAGTCGCGCTCTTGACTGCTCGGATGAATCAATGTTGATGACCATTAGATCATCCTCTTCGGGTACCTAGTATTGGTCCCCGACAAATAGCAAGTTGATTTCCATGCAGTTTGGAAAGAAGAATACCTAAATAAAGAGTCAATGCAAAACACATAATTAGGAAAAGCAAAATCTGAATAAAAAACTATGAAAAAATAGTGAATATCAAAACATATTGAGAAGAAAAATACCTAAATGAATAGCCCATATAAATTATAATTAGTAATATCCAAATTTAGAATTAAGAATAATATTATAGATTTAATGTGTTACAATTGGATTTTCCTCTGATGATAAAAAGGGAACTATAGAAAACATTTATGGTAGGGGTTATACGTATGTACAAGAGTTATCCAAGAGGAACATTGCGAGCTGTTCGGCTGATGGTTTTTATGGTTGATAAACCGGCTGATGTTGTTTTGTTGTGAGAGAAAAATACTGTACCATGACTGATAAGTCGGGCTAATTTCTTATATTCTCATATAAAACCATCAAATCACTTTTGATCTTCACTTCATGTCTTCCTCCACTGTGCTATATGCCTCATTGCCTTATTATCTCAGTCTATTCTCTCACCATATCCCTAAGCTCGATGAGTCACTCTTTACCTATGTTTATAGCAAAAAATTCTTGGCATCACTATCGACATCGACAAAGAGGAAATGACCAAATAGAAGAAGTGTTTGAGTGACTCGAGGTGTAGCCGCGTAGGCCTGAGATCACCAGATGGTTTCTTTGGGATGGCTTGGGACATTGATAGATGGTGGTGCAATGATATGGAATAGGATTTGCAAGGTAATAAAATTTTAATTTAGGAGAAATCAACTAAACAATTTGTGGAGTACTTTTCCTATATCTCAGGTGTCTGATTTTTTTGTTGTTATTCAGTCAACATGCAATTTTGTCATTGTTTGTCTATAGAAAAAAATATAAATTGTCTCTCGTGAGCTGTCCTTTTAGTTATACTGGTTGCTTGTGTAAGATTGTTGCCTGATTTTTTTTAAAAAAATAGACACCTAAAATATAGCAACTAGTTGCTTGTGTGTAAGACTTGGTTGTGGTGTTATTAAGCATTGGAATTCACACAAAAAAACCACGTAGGTTATCCTAATTTGGCATCGGTAGAAAATTGGCCTCTAGCCTAGTGGTTGCAACTCCTCGGCAGGAGGCCAGGTTCGAATCCACGTGGGGACGAATTTTCGAGCTGGATTAAAAAAACAAAAAAATAGGTATGGGGTTCAAAAAATATTATAGAGATGTGGAAGAGAAGACAAAGACGACAATTGATTTAAGCTAAGGAAATGATTGATAATAGTAGCTATATGGAGTTTCTATTACTCATGGATACAACGAGGGCACACAAAATTAGACCAATATATCAAACTGGTAAACCTGTACAAAACACGGATTGAAGGGCCAGCCAATTTGACTAAACAGTGAATTGAAATGGTAGGAGATCACACCTAAAATATTCAACGAGGCCATGACTACGATGCCCAATACTGGCATCATCAGAGTCAGGCTGAGAAAGTGCGTGAGATCTCGCCGGCTTTGGCAACCGAATCCATCTAAACGCCATCGCCACGCAAGGAATCGTGGCTCCACGCGGTGCTCCGCCCAAGAAAGTGGAGGCATGGGCGACGCAATATTGCAAGGCGAAAAGGGTTTGCAATGCTCTCGGACACACAAATGCACGAGCTCAGGCCGCGGCTAAGCCAGGCGCCAGCGCTGCGCGCATGCTCGACCGCGCTCCATGCGCCATGCACGCACCGGCGCGCGCTCGGTGGACTGGTGGAGCGGTGGTACCACCTCGCCTTCCCACTACGAGCTGCACGATGAATCCAATCCGTCCACCTCGCCTCAGGCACGGCAGTCGGCGGACCACCGGCCGACCGGTGCTAATACAGCGAGGCCGTGGAGTACGTGCGCGGCCGTGGACTGCGCCGCTTGTAAAGGAGGACGTCTCTGAATCATGGCGTGTGTGGAGGCCGGCGGCGGACATGCATGATGGGAGAGGTCCGGTGCGTGGTGCGCTTTCCGCCTCATTGTCCGGTGCAGGATGCATGTAGCACCAGGGGAAAGTCGACGTTGACACCGAGGGTTCCACGTTTGTCAGAGAGGCAACATTTTCGGTGATGCCGGCCCGTTCGCTAGTCTGAAACTTGGCTGAAAAACACTGTTCCAGCTGGTTTGTTTTGAGAGAAAAACATTGTAGCAGCTGAAACTGGCTGAATCTCCAGAGGAGAACCAGCCGGCTGGTTTGCTGGAACCAGACCAGCGAACAAGGCCGCTACCTAGGGCATGGACATGGTCCGGGGGACACATCGGATATATGCTTTGCTTGCACTAGTCGTGCAGTATAATTAGGTTCAGAGCTGTCCATTGAATTTATACAAAGCGGAAAGTTCAAAAGGAGCAAGCGTCTACAGTGCTTATGCTGATGCCGTTGGGTTCCTTATTTGAACCGTGCACCTCTGCACGGCCAGACTCACTCGGTGAAGCCCACTCCCCCCACGCTCTCCATAGTAGTTCATACTCGCCATGCTCCCCATGCAGCAACCGCTCGTGCTCCTCCTCCTCCTCTTCATCGGCTCCGCCAAGTATGCCGTCGCCTCCGGCACCGATGCCGGTGCGGCTACCTACATTGTCTATCTGAACCCCGCGCTCAAGCCGTCCCCCTACGCCACGCACCTCCACTGGCACCACGCGCACCTGGTCTCCCTCTCCCTGGACCCCGCGCGCCACCTCCTCTACTCGTACACCACCGCCGCGCCGTCCGCGTTCGCCGCCCGCCTCCTCCCGTCCCACGTCGCGGCGCTCCGCAGCCACCCTGCCGTCGCGTCAGCGCATGAGGACGTGCTCCTACCGCTCCACACCACGCGCTCCCCTTCGTTCCTCCACCTCCCGCAGTACAACGCGCCTGAGGCGGACGGCGGTGGGGGCCCGGACGTCATCATCGGAGTGCTCGACACCGGCGTGTGGCCCGAGAGCCCCAGCTTCGGAGATGCCGGTCTGGGCCCCGTGCCTGCACGGTGGCGCGGGAGCTGCGAGACCAATGCCACCGACTTCCCGTCGTCGATGTGCAACCGCAAGCTCATCGGCGCCCGTGCCTTTTTCCGCGGCTACTCGTCGGGGGCCGGCGGCAATGGTTCTCGAGTCATCGCCGACCTCAGGTCGCCGAGGGACCACGACGGGCACGGCACGCACACCGCAAGTACCGCAGCCGGGGCCGTAGTGGCGAACGCAAGCCTCCTCGGGTACGCGTCGGGCACGGCGCGGGGCATGGCCCCCGGGGCGCGCGTCGCGGCATACAAGGTGTGCTGGAGGCAAGGCTGCTTCAGCTCCGACATTCTGGCGGGCATGGAGAAGGCCATCGACGACGGCGTCGACGTGCTCTCGCTGTCGCTGGGCGGCGGCGCGTTCCCGCTCTCGCGCGATCCCATCGCGGTCGGCGCGCTCGCGGCCACCCGCCGCGGCATCGTCGTCTCGTGCTCCGCTGGGAACAGCGGGCCGTCGCCGTCGTCTCTGGTGAACACCGCCCCGTGGATAATCACGGTAGGCGCCGGAACGCTCGACCGGAACTTTCCGGCTTACGCCGAGCTCGGCAACGGCGAGACCCTCGCGGGCATGTCCATCTACTCCGGCGACGGGTTTGGTGACGACAAGATCCCTCTAGTGTACAATAAGGGCATTCGTGCCGGCAGCAACTCGAGCAAGCTCTGCATGGAGGGCACGCTGGACGCCGCGGAGGTGAAGGGCAAGGTGGTCCTGTGCGACCGGGGCGGCAACTCGAGGGTGGAGAAGGGGCAGATAGTGAAGCAGGCCGGTGGCGTGGGAATGGTGCTCGCGAACACCGCCCAGAGCGGCGAGGAGGTCGTGGCGGACAGCCACCTCCTCCCGGCGGTGGCCATCGGCGCTAAGAGCGGGGACGCCATAAGGAGGTACGTGGAGTCAGACGCCAACCCGGAGGTGGCGTTAACCTTTGCCGGCACCGTGCTCGACGTGCGGCCGGCGCCGGTAGTAGCCGCGTTCAGCTCCCGTGGACCGAACAGGGTTGTGCCGCAGCTGCTCAAGCCGGACGTGATCGGTCCGGGCGTGAACATCCTTGCCGGGTGGACGGCGTCCGTCGGCCCGACCGGGCTAGTCGCCGACGAGCGGCGGTCAGCGTTTAACATCTTGTCAGGTGAGCGCACGCGTTGCTTCTTCCTGTCGGACAGGCTCTGTTGCTTGCTCAGTTGCTCGTGCTCGAAATCGATTCTTTAGCTGTCGATGAACGTTATTATTGTTGTGATTGTTTTTGGTAGCAGCTTTCCTTTTTTTGCCATGATGTCGTAAGCTTTTGAGTGCCGTTTCGCGTGCATAAAAGTTTGATATACTACTCGACATCGACAGTCGACACTCGGCATGCTTTCTGACACGCGTTCGGCCGTGCAGGGACATCCATGTCGTGCCCGCACATCAGCGGCCTGGCGGCGTTCGTGAAGGCGGCGCACCCGGACTGGAGCCCCAGCGCCGTTAAGTCCGCGCTCATGACGACTGCCTACACCGTGGACAACACCGACTCGCCCCTCCTCGACGCCGCGACCAACGCCACGGCCACGCCGTGGGCCTTCGGCGCGGGCCATGTGGACCCCGTCAGCGCGCTCTCCCCGGGACTCGTCTACGACTCCTCCGTCGACGACTACGTCGCCTTCCTCTGCACCGTCGGCGTCGCGCCGCGGCAGATCCAGGCCATCACGGCGGCGGGGCCGAACGTGACCTGCACGCGGAAGCTGTCCAGCCCAGGGGATCTCAACTACCCGTCCTTCTCCGTCGTGTTCGGCCGGAGGTCGTCGCGCAGCACCGTGAAGTACCGCCGCGAGTTGACCAACGTTGGCAATGCCGGGGACACGTACACTGTCAAGGTCACCGGCCCCAGCGACATCAGTGTGAGCGTCAAGCCGGCAAGGCTCCAGTTTAGGCGGGCAGGAGACAAGCTCAGGTACACCGTCACGTTCAGGTCCGCGAACTCCAGGGGACCCATGGACCCCGCGGCCTTCGGGTGGCTGACGTGGAGCAGCGATGAGCACGACGTGCGGAGCCCGATATCATATACTTGGGTGATGTAGCGCTGATCGCTGACTGAACCAAGCATTTAGCGTGCCGCCGATTTTCAGGGAGACTGGAACTATATATCTTCAATAATCTCACGAATTCACTTGTTATTTATTTACCCCATTTCAAAATATATATAGTTTTGTTTTAAGTTAAAGTTTTCTATTTTTGACTAAGTTTATAAACAACTACCCTTATACATAAATAATCAATTCAATTTTTGTTAAATTCACCATTAAACATGCGAACTGATCCTAGATCAGTTGGTTAGGTTCCTTGTGGTGGAACCTAACCACCCGGGTTTAAGTCCTCGACTTGGCACAGGTGCTCATATTTTTCTGGATTTAAGGGCGCTATGCTTTCAGTGGTAGGTGACGTCTCCGTTGACAGCGAGGCGCATTCGGTGACTTCGTGAATTTCGATATTTACCGATTCAGTCCTTCGGAGTGTACTCATATGGGTAGAGTTTGCATACGTGTGTTCATAGGGGTCAGTATGTGTGGGTCTACGTTGTACTGTGTAATTCTAAAAAAAAATTCACCATGAAACATGTCTTTTTTTTAAAGTTCTGGTTTCCCGGCTTGTTATCATTAAGAAGCAGAACAACGTTTGATTACATGCGCGAGAAGCGTAGCCTAACACAGTGGAATATTGTGTAGGCAGAAAAGAAGATAGCTAATTACTTACTAAGAGAATGTCGACATACAATTACAGGGGACTAAGGACATTTCCCCAGCAAGGGACCAGTTTAGGCATGTATTTATAATTTCTGTAAGAAGTGCCTGAGTTGGTCTCCTGCAATCTCTGTACACCACTGCATTCTTTTGCTTTCAAATAATCCAGAGGGTTAGGATTGATATTATGTGAGCCATTTCGGTGCCCATGCCGGTCATGCTGTAGAACCAATCTTCTGTGGGCCTGTTCGCTTTCTGAATTTCGGAGGATCTTGGATGGTTTGGAGTAATGCTGGAGAAATCTGTGAGAGAGAAACACTGTTTCGGATGAAAAAAATAAACGGATCAAGCCGGGTTCAAGGACACGTGAACGGAGCCTATGTCAGTTTCTGTTGTCCATTGGGATGGGTGCAAACTTGGACTCCTGCTCCAAATCACCACAATTCCCCAAACTTCCTGCGAGAAAGAACCCTCAAAGATGAGATGCTCAGCCGTCTCTAGATTCCCGTCAGATGGTGTACAGAAATAGTTATTCTTCTTCCAACCGCGTAGTTGCAGACGAGCCGACGTCCAGAATCTGTTTCGAAGTAGCAGCCATAAGAAGATTTTGCATCGCGGAGGTGCCCATGCTGTCCAAAGTAGGCACGGGAAGTTTGAGGGAATTTGTCCAGCAAATTGAATGTTATAGGCAGAGCTGGCCGAGTACTATCCAGATTATCTCATCATCTCGTGCATCTTCCAAGTTGATTCGAGCTGATTGTATTGCATCCCAAAGGCTAAAAACTTCATTAAGCAGATCATGGTTCAGATTGTAGGCGATGTCCCTGATCCAGGTATGTCTAGTGATGGCGGTTTTGACTATTCTGTTTTCCCTCTTGCTATGCCTGAACAGGCGGGGGAATAGGGCGGCTGGGGTCTTGCCATCTTGAGTTCCAGAAGGATGCCTTGCAACCATTTCGTACTGTTTTCGTGGCTGCAGAAAATAGTGCGATGTCCACCGAGTCAACTGGCAGTGTCATTCCATTGCACGGACGATGTGGGTTATTCCAAGCAAACCAAAGCTAGCGGCCTAGCGCAAAGCGTAGTGCTCTGTTAAATTTCTCCAAATCAAGGATGCCTAATCCCCCAAATTGTATTGGCCTGATGACGAAAGGCCATCCAACTTTGCACTTGCCTCCAGAGATCTCGCTGTCCCCGGCCCAATGGAAGCATCGTCGGGCTTTATCCAAGTCCTCTAGCAATTGTTTTGGGGCCTTGAATGATGTCAGCAGATTGGTCGGGATAGCACTTAGGACAGATCTCACTAGCTCCCGCCTCCTAGCTGACTTTAGCAGCTTTCCTTGCCAACCTGCGAGTCTGTTGCTCGTGTTGTCCAGGATGCGTTGGAGGTGCACAATTTTGAAGTGTGAGAGGTAGCCCCAAGTAGGTTATTTGGAAGCCTACTCACTGGCCAAAGAAGCTATCTAGGATTTGGCCTAAGTTGAGCTCAGCACATCTGATTGGTGCACTGTACACTTCTCCAAATTGTTGTCCAATATTTTGAAAAGGGCTCTGACCTCACTTTGGATGGGGTTCAGAAAATTAGTGTGTCATCAGCATATAGGGAAAGCCTCAATTTTACTTTCTTTCTCGCAGCGGGGAGAGAGTTCCGTCCACAGTTGCAAGCTCCAAAACCTTTTGCAGTGTCAATGGCTAGGATGAAGAGGTAAGGAGATAGGGGATCACCTTGTCGGAGTCCCCTAGCATGATTGATTCTCTTCCTAGCGAGACCATTTAACAAACTGTAGAGTGAGACGATCTGAGCAGCATGAAACATGTCTTCATAGTGCACTTAGCATTGTTAATATTAACATATTTTTCTGTAAACTCGGTTAAAATTAGAAAAATGACTTAGAATGGAATTAAAAAATATACATTTTGAAACGGATAGAATACCTGGCTTCACCACTTCACCGATGAGTAATTGTATTGATTAGTCCGTCATAACTCCTTTAAAGTAATTATAAAATACTAGTCCACTGACGCAACTTGTACTTCTAGATGGGCTAGAATCTTAAAGACATAAGTATCATTAAACTTTTGTTGATAACATTATAAGCTACTTCCTCCATGCCAAATTATAAAGACGTTTTGATTTCTCTAGATACGTAACTTTTATTATGCACTTAGATATATAATATATCTAGATATAGTTAAAACAATGAGTCCGTGAAAACCAAAAACCAAGGGAGCACAGTTAATAAAAAAATACTTATATTTGCTTGCTCTCTCTGTTAATTATCTAACACAGGGTCACAGTTTCCGGATCAATAGGGTTAATGAATGCGGTACCCTAGTAGCGAGAGTTTTTTAGACGATATCCATACTTTGTGCATCGCCACTGTTTACATTTGTGCCACTGTTTTTTTTTCTCTTTTCCAAAGCAGTGCCGGACATTTTACTTTCAATAACGTATGTACTACAACTCCACGTATAGCATGCTACATATATGTCCCATTCGGCTTACCTTATAATCCGTACTATTTAGCTTATTTTTTTCAGTCGGAACAATATTTTTCTCTCACAACCATTCAGCCAGAACAAGTATTTTTCAGCCAAGTTTCAGCAAGTCGAACGGGGCCATAGTTTTGTTGACATTCTTTCATTTAATCTAAACCGCTAGATCATAAAATCTAACGATGTATATTCTTTTATTTTATTATATTAATTAATCTCATAAGTTATATGTGCTCTTGGTGAACGCGATAGCTCTTTTTAACCCTATTGTATTAATCTACATACCTAATACAATTAATATATTATATGCCTAATATTTAAAATAATAAATCTCTTTCTTCCATCTCTTACTGCCTGCCCTGCCATCCATCTCTCACTCTGTCCTTTTCGCTTTGGGTATGGAGCTGCAATGGCACCGCACCATCATGTCATGGTCGAGCTGTCAGAGTCCGTTTGTGTCACGATTCGCGTGCAGCTAACTTTGCACCTTTCTTAACAACTCCACATAAGAGCCACCAATTTAAGTTGAGTCAATCTTGTATCAATTTTATATATAGGATTAATGCTTTATTTCACTAGCATTGAAATTTATTTGATTTAAGGTTGGGCAAGGGCCCAATGCTCATTACCATTGGCATGAGTACCACTTAATAAATTGTACATACCGTTGGAACTTGGAAGGTGTGGCCATGTGTATAAATAAATAATACATATATAGAATGAAAGATAACTTTTTAGTGGCTAGGTATCATGCTGACTTAGTCCCTCCGCCTAGAAAAGAATGAAATTGTAGCATAGTACTAAGTTAAAATATGCTGACTTTGACCAACTATATATATAAAAAATTAATATTTATAATATAAAATAAGTATTGCTAGATTTGTTACGAGGTCTATATAATTGTTAATATTTTTACTTTATATTTGATTGAACTTTAGTCATTTTGATTAAAAATGCACCTAAAATTGTTTTTTTTAGACGGAGGTACTACACCATTATATGGAGTACCATTATTAATTTCTAGACGACATACAACATTAATTTCCAAGAGCTGAACAATCACGTGCTTACACGCGAACAGCCCAACACACGAAGGACATCAAGCGCCCATATACAGGCGGGCTGGCAACCTGGGCTCGACCACGGCATTGAGCGGGAACTTTCGCAGCATCGCGAGCACGACTGCACGAAGGTCTCCTCCATGCTCAGCTCCTCCGCCGTCAGTCCGTCACGCCGTCCGGAAGCCTCCACTCAAAGCCGTGAAGCAGATTGGCAAGGCCCAAAGCCACCACCTTTAGCGCGAGGTTGAACCCGGGGCACATCCGCCGACCCAGAGCCGAACGGCACCAGCTGGAAGTCCTGCCCCCTCGTGTCGATCTTGCTCTCGAGGAACCGCTCCGGCCGGAACTCCTCCGGCGCGTCCCACAGTGCAGGGTCGCGGCCGATTCCCCACACGTTGATGAACACGACCGTGCCGGCGAGTAGGGCTGGATTCGAGCTCGGCTCGGCTCGGTCCAGCTCGACGAGCCAGTTCGACTCGGCTCGTTAATATTACGAGCTAGAGGAGCAGCTCGGTTCGGCTCATTATTAAACTCGAAGCTGACTCGTTTAGCTCGTGAGTTACTAAACAAATACGACACACATATTTATAATGTTTATGCTACATTAATTCTAGAAAGTGACGTCCATCGTTATACAACTATACATGATTAATATATATCAGGTTCATTAAAAGTATCAACCATGCAACATAGCTCGTCCATCCATAATCATGCAGTTCCAGCATACTAACTAGTTTCTTACTATCACAAACTTAGGAAAGTCCACAGATTCAATGTCAGCAT